GATTCCATGTAGGCTAAGGACTAGTCTGCGAAAGTTACAGGTGGTGAGGGGTCAAAAATCGTTAATTTTAGGGGTAATTTTATTGCGAATTAACTGGTACCCTACGTTACCTGGTACGGTCCGTACATGTTTGAAATGTCTACGAAAAGTTACATCTTCGTACAGTTTATACTATCGTAGAGTATCTTCATGTATGCGTGAGAGTACGTACAACGTGTGCGCGCGCACATGTTCGCCACACGAAAAGATTGGAAAACAGCGAGAGCGTACCGATAAGGTAGCAAACGGTTGCAAATGCAACAACGGGACCGGACGCAGCGCTTGGGTCTTCGCTACGCCCCCTCCAGTACAGGGCAGGACGCAATTGCAACGAACTACGCCACACTTGCTGATATCAACGATGACAATGGCGACGCTTCGCACCTTCGTTCGACGGGCTAGCCCCCGTGTGATGGCAGTGTAAGTACCCAAATGCACATGTTAGTTTTCGCCGTGAACACATCCTCGAGCAGAGTTTTTTTTGGAGGTCTTTCATTTCATCGGAGGGCTCGGAGGTGCCGATTCGAGTCGCGCTATTGTCGCCCGAGCCAAAAGGACAGGCTTGTGTCTCGCAATAGCTTGCAAAATGGGATTCGCACTCTGGAGGCGACGAAATGTTTTAGAATTGTCTGCGACAGATTATATTCAAGCATTTCAAAGTCACAATGCTCTCTTAGAGGATGGATAGGAGTATAGCTCTACCATGGACTTTCGTTCTCACACGTTTTTTGCACTCGCATGCACAACGCTCTCTGCGGTTTTGGCCTCACTACAGTGCCACACAACAGACTCGTGGTATGGCCACTGAAAAGCAAAGTAAGTGTTTAGATATCAGTCAAATTAATCGCACTTACATGAAGTAACGAAACTCAACTTCTCGTTCTATTCCTGTCCAGTTTTCAACCAAATCCAATCGACGAAGAACATCAAGAAGATTACGTCGTCGATGAAGATGGTTTCCGCCGCGAAATTGAAGGGTGACGAACAACGCCTAGCAGCTGCGATCCCTTTCAACAACTGGTCCTATGAAATTTACTCCGAACCTACCTTGATTGAAGACGCCACTTTCGAGGAGCTTCCCCAGAAGGTTCTCGTCGTACCATTTACTTCCGACAAGGGTCTTTGTGGTGGTATCAACTCGTTCATCTCTCGTGGAACCAGAGATATGGTGAACAAGTTGAAAGCCCAAGGGAAAGAAGCCGATATCGTTATTATCGGAGACAAGGGACGATCCCAAATGCGAAGAACCGTTGGTGAACACGTCGTGCGGTCCGCAACGGAGGTCGAAAGTCCCGGAACCTATGCATTGGCTTCTGCCCTTTCGACCGAGCTAATCGCTGCCGGCGCCGAGGATTACGATGCCGTCGTAATGATTTACAACTCTTTCGTCAACGCTGCTGTATACAATCAGATGTACAAGGTCGTAACCCCATTGAAACCAAGCGAAGATGGATCCGAAATTCTCCCCACGTACGACTTCGACTCTGACAAGGCCGAGTCTATGACTGACTTGTACGAGTTTGTTCTCTCCACGCAGCTCTTCCACTGCTTCATGGATGGTGCTGCATCCGAACAGTCTGCTCGTATGACTGCCATGGAAAACGCTTCCAACAACGCCAACGAAATGATTGACTCGTTGACTCTTCGATACAACAGAGCTCGTCAAGCCCGTATTACCACGGAACTCATTGAAATTATTTCCGGAGCCTCTGCCATTGAGGAATAAATAGAGATGTGAATCCTAATTTAGTACGATAGGAAGATGGAACGATGCGGTGAAAAATTAAAACTAGGATTCGTCTGATCACAACAATAGAAGCCAACCACTGTTTTGTTTCTATGATTCATTTCATCAATACTTACGACGGTAGGCCAATGGATTAGCCCGCAAGAGAAATATCGCGGATATCAATGATCACTGGGGATATTTGTGGTTGTCTCGGCATTCGAAAGACATCAAGTTTCTGCCAGATGTTTTCTGCTTGAAGCGGTGGGCTACACAATTTTCAATTGCTTGCACTACTTTTTCTTGCACATTGATTAGCGCTTTATTGTCCTTACCGACACCAAAGATGTGCATCTTATCAACTACGAAGACGATTGAAACTTCACTCCAGTCATGTGAACTCAGCTACAGAGCTAATCAGCTACAGAACTAAACGTATATTTTACAAAAGTACGTGCAACCAGTACACTACTGTACGTAGTGGTTGTTTCAGTTCTAGTTTTCTCCGTTAAAAAAAAACAGAATACAGTACCGTACGTACTTAGTGAACACTTAATCTCAGTCTCCTCTTTGCTCATGATTGATGCCAGAATGAATCGCTTTCCGTGCGATGTGATATAAGCTTGGATTCTGATACATTGACACTAATGCATCAATGTGTTAGATAGACAGGATAATGTCCCCACTGAAAGCACAATTGCAGTAGATAACATGCCCAAGATGAAGAGAAAGAAAAAGAATCCTCCTGCCGTCGTCACCGTGGCTCCGTTGTACAATGAAGATATCGGTTTCGAAGGACTGAAGAAGAAACGATTTTCGGGTGGAAACCAAATAATCCAACAACAATTTGACAACCAAGAAGAGAAGAGACGCAACAAGCGAATGGTGAGTTAGTAGCCATCTTTCTAACGAGGGCTGTACTTTATTGAGCAATCAAGTTACCAGAACGTTATTCACATTCACTGTTATTCTTTCCGAACGGACAGAAACGATTTATAGAGCACAATCAAAAGAAATCTCTGACAACAACGCGTGAAATAATTCATGATGACGAAATCAAGACCGGCTTTGGTTACCCGAAGAACAGAGATTGCGACGTGTCTGGAAACGGCAGTCGATTAGTAGGTAGGAGTACAGCACTAGAAAAGTGTTACATGCGACTGACGGCTGCTCCAAAGGCAGATGATGTACGACCACTTCCAGTCTTGAGGAAGTCTCTAGCTCATGTCAAGGCGCACTATATTCAATATGAAGACTTTGATTTCGCAAATGAGCAACTTAAGAGTAAGTTTCACATGAGAGGGTAATCGAGGAATTGATCGAACATTTTTATGTAACTATTTCGTTTGCTGACAGCTCCTAAATTGAATTCATAGGTATTCGACAAGATATAACAGTTCAGCATCTCCAAAACAATTTTGTACTAGAAGTTTATGAAACGCACTCTCGCATTTTATTGGAGAATGGAGATCTCAATGAATTTAATCAGTGCCAGACAATGATCAAAAGCTTGACGAGTTCGGAACACCCAACTAGTGCTTCGGAGCGTACTTTAGGAGGCCATCAGCATAACCGTTATTTCGGCAGCTCGAAAAGGCACACTAAAGGAAGTGATATTCTTGTTCAATGTGAAGAAACAGCTGATGAGTTTCGGGCATACAATTTACTTTACGACCTTGTCCAGAACTCATGGTGTGATCTCAAAGTACACATTGGATCGACAAGAATTGGAGTAGAAATTGCCAATCAAGCCCAAGATCCGAAAACATCAAAAAGATCGAATCGAATACCTCTCATAACTCGAGGGTCTTCGGTATTTCATGCCCTGAGTGTGGTGAAGGCGATCATCGACGATGACTATCTCGCATTTTTCCGCTTGTATGAATCAGCACCCCATATGTCAGCCTATCTTATGGACTTTTTAGTCCGTCGAGTTAGGAATGTGGCCTATACTCGCATTATATCTGCCTTTCGACCAACAATTTCCACCGAATACTTTCGAGAAGCGCTTGCTTTCCGGGATCTAGAAGAAACGCGCCAGTTTTTGATAGACAAAGGCGCTGTCTTTTTGAATGACAACGACGGTGACCCTCTGTTCTGGATTGATTGCAAAGCTACGTATGCAGTTTACCTACATAGAACAAAATGAATACCATTTAATGAGACGCCAGAGCCAGAGCTCCTGCTGCCAGAGAGGAAATTGATTTTTATGTGCTATCAGTGAAAATACCCATTCAGTGGACAGCAAAGGGTCTGGGGCACTGATGATAGCCTGACAATCTGATTGCAGACCTCCAAAAACTGGGCGCACAAAATATGTACTACTATGGATTAACATGTGATACGTACGTCAATAGCATCTTTGTCTTTGCCCCAGATGGAAAAATTAGAGCTTGCACATTCAACTGTCCTGGATCTTGGCATGATAGCACCATTTCTTAGTATTGAGTCTACAGGAATATGGAGCGCATGTACAACTTGTTGTTTTATGGAGCAAAGGTTATGGTCGACTCAGCCTTCATCTTGCAAGACAAGCAATATCTTGTGAAAAACTCCCAGCAGAGGGATCCAGACCTTCCCTTGAATGAGGCTGCTGCTAGAGCTGCTATATTGATAAGCTGACAAGCTAGTACATCACTGAGACAGCTGTTGGAGTGGGGCATGAGGATGATCCAAGGACAATTTCCAAGGCTGAAGGACAGGATCTGGTGTATTGAGAAGCAAGGTGAAAGGAAAGTTATCTTGAACACAGTGATCTTGTTGTACAATTACCAGGCCAGCAACTCCAATTTTGCTGTTCCTATTTGAAAGTCCCCTTATTTACTACACACTTATACGTAGAATCAGTACCACCAAGGTAAAAAAATTAGCATGCATGCGATTAGAATTTATTTTTCCTTGCACTATTAACACAGCAACGGAGGAAGTGGTACGAGCAGTTTTTGGGTTACATAAAAAGTTGGAAATTCGGAAAACTTTAATGTAATCAACGACTACAGTATTCGTCTGGAGTTCGTACGTCGTCATTCCACGGGACAGAAAAATCACAAAATTGTTGTTTGTTGAAGACGGTTTACGGTTGTAAGGTACGTAATTTATTGGTACGATCAAACGTACGCTGTTCACGTAGTATGGGGTCAACGGTTAGTGTTGGGACCATGCGAGCGAACTCCAGCGTAGAAATTCGTACTCGTACCTGAGTCGCCTTTCTCTGAGGTCATGCAATGGTGTGAATAAGAGGAGGAACTACAACAACAAACGCTTCCACATCACCTCTAAGACAACCAAAGTGGTTCTTTTCCGCTCGTAGCAGCTTTTCATCGTTGAGGAAAGACATAGCACCCAGTAGAATCAACAAAAATGGCTACCAATACCGAAGCTCCCAGCTTCTACGAAGACGTGGAGAATTTGAAGAAGTTGTGCAATTTTCTTCATACTTCAGAAGGCCCGCGTGTGAGGGAGGCATTGTTGATGGAGAAACGGGTTACATACTTGAAAGGTGGGTCAGGAAACGATAGTCTCTGGCATACTAGTCAATAAGTTATTAGCATTATGGAAGTGAACGATTGGTCGGGCTTGCCAGCTAATCTTTTTGGAAAAATGCGCTGACCTTAAATTTTGTGTGCTCTCTTTTGATTCTTGATGGCATGCAATCCGAAACGGCAGGAGAAAAACTTGTAAACTTTCTAGCAGAACCAAAGAGGGGGACAAAGTGGCCAAAGGACTTGCCTCGTTTTGAAAGCAGACAAGATGCTATTGCTGTTTGCAAAGAATTATGCAAACTACAGTTCATTTTGAGATGCGACAAGCAAGGAAAGGGTGAACTTTCCATGGTGCGAAATCGGGAGTTCGATGAATCTGGATACTTCGCCTGGATCTACGAAGGAAACAAAACAATGAGCCATTTCATGACGGCTGCGTTGGTTATCGGATTCTTTTGCTGCGTCTGCTTCCAGATCTGGCCTACATTTTTGAAGGTCTTCGTATGGTACATGTCTGTGACTCTCTTGCTCTTCATTTTCTTCCTCATTTCCGCCAGAGCTTTCATTTTCTTGTGTGTCTGGATAATTGGTTACGACCTTTGGATTTGGCCGAATCTATTTGACGAACAGCTGGGTTTCTGGGACTCTTTCAAGCCCTTCATATCGTTCAAACCGACAGGACCTGGTCAACTTCTCTATAGGCTTGGTGTAGGAGTAGGATTCTTTTCTTTCTGCTACTGGGCAATCACGCAACCTTCGGAATTCGATGGATTTGTGGCTGCTCAAGGAGACTTTTTGAAAGACCTTTATGAGGGAAATCTGCTGTCTGATATGTCACAGGAAGACAAAGAGAATATTGACAAACCGAAAATGCAGTCGCTCGAAGATTTATTGAAGGATTTAGATGCTAGCGAAGAAGAAGGCAACCTGAAAATGGAAGAGCTCAGCGAAGAAGAAAAGCTAGACTCCATGTTTGACACTTTGATGGACGAAGAAGAAGACATCGATGAGGACGAAGAGTAAAATGAAACAACTAGTAATCCATCTCTGTTGATTTATTATTAGACAATGTCGTTTTTTATTATACGCCAAGATAGTACTCAATGTTGGTTCGAATAGCGGCTTTATGTGGTGTATTCAGCTGAAATCCCCTTCTAAAAACGAGCGAATAGGAGCTGATGAGTACATTTCGAATTAATTTACTACAATCAAGTCTGCCGCTAGAGGAATTTAGTTCTAAAAAAACAAATATTCAAATCTTCTTAATTACTCGGATATTTCTCCTTGCCGTCTAGTTCCATTTTCTGTGTAAGTCGCAAGGCTTTGTCGCGTTGCGTGCTTGCACTTACAAATTGCCCAAGAACAATTCCCAGAAAAGTGTTGTGGGCAACACACTGGAAGAATATGTAATTCGCATTGCCGTTATTAGCATCGAGCCACATCCAGTGATCGACAATATTAAGAATCAGAGGCACCGGTAAACAAAAAAGAGAAATAGTGGAGGCATATCCCATTCGCGCCAACGATCTAGGCGAGAACAGTAAAAAGCAGAATGCAACATTTGCATCGCAGAGTACTTGTACCGGACGATAGATAGTCCATACAATAGTCCACACCGCAAGCTAGTAATTGTAACAGAATGAACGTAAAATAAATTAGGCATGGAGAAAGCATTCCAAATCAGTACCTATTGTTCAAGTTCCTTGCGTACGAAAGCTCACCTGGACTGCGGGATAATTTTTAAATCGTAGGTAGAAAGGACCAATTAGAATGAGCGGAAGCCCAGCAAAAACGGCGCCAAAATACTCCTGGAACCTTGAAAAAGTCTGCATCCGAAAGTACCATTGCAGAGAGAGGTTTGGACTGGTAGTCAACCACGTGTTCCCGTAAATAGACCGCAAGACCCTCCAATAATTGGTTGGACAGACAAGCCTGCTGGATGCAACTTGCAGCGACAAAAACCATAGGGCAAAAAAGGATACAAAAATAGCGGCAGGTTTTACCATGGTCGATCTAGTTTTGGATGGTAGAGTGAAATTGCTACCAGCGGAAAGACATAATATCGGAATCATGTATACGGCATAGTGTGGCTCCAAATAGGTCGCGACTGCAAGATAAAACGAAGACATCGATAGATATCCATCAGAGGAAGAGTAGCGGTTTGATTCATACACACTTAAGACCAGAAAAAGAGTTGGGATATTTTGCCAACAGCCAAAGCAACACGCCGGGACGGTTGTGAATGGACTCCAGTAATAAAGTTGTGCAGATAACAACGGTAGAGTCCTCATTGAAATTAGAGGCTCTCGTTCTATTATCGGGCTCTTGCTTCCTTCTTTCGATAGCATTCTCGAAGAAGAGGTTTTGGAGTCCCTATAGATTGGAAATATATGAGAGAATGGTGGGCGAATGGACTCCGGTAATTGTTGTTGAATATCCTCCTCATGTATTGGCCGCTGGGACTGCGACGAAGTTTTGATGTCAGATCGTAAACCGAGCAACTGAATTCCAACTTGTTCCAACAGATATGCAATAGAAAAATCTATAAGAAGCAACAAGATTGATAGCCAAATACCGGGAATCGTCGTCACCTCGAGAATCGGTGAAAACATGGCGAGGAGCAACGGAGGTATCCGAATGGAATCGTTGGCGTGATAAACGCTGGAAAACTTGTTCAACGGCACCGATGCCAATGTCTGGATCGCCCGTGCCTCTTCTAACTGTGCAAGTCTTTGGTGGGGACGAATCAGCACCGAAAGAAGAGAGGGATCGTGAAGCCATAACCCAAACGGCGTTGAAGAGAGAAAGTACGGCACCATGATCAGAGCTAGTCGAACCAAAGTGACCCAAAGAGTCGACTTTTCTGTCAAGAATGACTTCTCGGTCTTCTTGCCTTGAGATAGAGACATGGTTGCTGCGTTATTTTGGTAGATCTTGTGGCACAAACTTTTCCGATCTCTCCATTGGTGTGCAGAATTTCCTGTGGTGCTCACAGTGCTGTATGAAGCAATACAAAAAGTGTTCAGAATAATATCACTACAGCCTGGCCTTACGGTACAGTATGTAATGAGAAGAGACACGTTGTACGGTATGGAGGCTACGAAAACATGTGGGTAATGGAAATTTTCGTCTGAGATTTTTTAAAAATTCGAAAAAATTAAAAATTCGAAAAAAGTTTACCCCACCCTCGTAAAAATGGTAAAATTATCGCTGGTGTGCGTTTATTACGTGGCTCGCTTGTCGAGATGAAGAATACATAGTTTATCGTACGGTACGGTAGCGTAGAAGGCGGCGGGATAATTTTGTTGTAAAAATATCTTGAGATGCACTTTTTGACTTTTTCACTTCTTCCCGTCGCATTAGCTACCGTAGCGTAGGTGACAGGATGGAAGGGCCAGATACAACTTGGTACGAGTATGAGAACGATCACTAGGCCATTGTAAAAGGAAAATGTTCAGACAACACGTTCGGTTTAGTTCGCACGAATAGTATTCAAAGAGTCCTCAAATATTGTCTCCTTCCGAAAAGAAAAAAAAAGTACTGATAAGCACTGGGGCAAGAACTAGCGAGAAGCACGGAAGACAACGGAAAATCAGGCGTGAAGTGGTGATCAAGCATTAACTAAATTAAACGAAAGGCGACGAAACGAAACGGAAGGATAAGGACGATCGAATTTATCAATGAGTGCCGACTCACAGCAAACGACCTTCACAAGGCAGGCAACAATTCTGCGAAAGAATCTGGGAGAATGGGACATGGTTCTTCATAATCCTCGTGGAGAGGACTGGTCTAAAATGCTTGGTAGGTTGAATGCGGCACTTTCGGCAACCTCAACCCTAGACAACAACATCGAGGACGTCATGGAGCACTTTGTGTACTTGCCCAAGCGGGCGACGGCAAATCCCCAAGACATCCCGTTCTTTTTATCTACCAAGCTGGATTCTTCCGCAACAGATGAGAGAATGCCGGCAAACTCGTCGTCTCGAAAGAAAAAAGATTCGACGGTTCAGGATCTTTTGGCTATGGGCGACCCTGTGCAGGTTTTATCAAACTACGAAGAACAAGCGGCAAAATTAGTACAGGAATACGAAGAGGAGATGGTCCGATTTTGAATATTCTAGAAATACATTATACAACTCTCGCAAAGAAACAACGCGGGTTCGGCTCTGTGGGTGGTGTGAAAGATTGGACAATCAGGCGTTGCTCTATTGACAAACATTCAATTAAATTAGCCACGAACTAATTAGAAGGTCAGAAAACTGCACCAATTGAAGTATACGGTAGTAGACTCTCAACTTGATTATCTTTATTTTATATCGATGTTTATGATAAGTCGGACTTTGTCGGCAAGGTTGCTTATTCTCGGTCAAGTAACCCTCGAGATGTCAGGTGATTCATCATTCTCGAATCTTCGTCACCCTTTTGTCGGACAACATCCTCTGACAAAACCAGAACATGGACGCGATCTGCAGATGCCGCAAGCAATCTTCTTCCGTCCGATGACCATTTCAATTTGTTCAACCCTCGACCAGAGCCACCGTCTGGTTCTACAACAATTCCATCCAATCCAGTGATCGGCTCCTCCATCGAATGAGAAAAGTTCCACAGTCCAATGGTTCCATTACTAGATGCAGTTGCCATTAGAGCCGGATGGGATGGGTTCCATTGAACATCGCTCATATAATCGTATGAGTGACTGACCAGACTCAATAGAGACTTGTCTGTGTATGCGGGTGCCCATAGCTTGATCGTCCAGTCAACACCGGACGATAAGAACAAACCGCCAGTACCTCGCAGAAAGCCTTTCGAAAGACCTGCTCTTGGAGCAGACTTGAGGTGTTTGGTTGCTACCGAAGTAACCATTCCAAAATGACTTTCGTCTCCACTTTCCAGTTTCCGTACTTGTCGTCTCGAGCGTTGGCCACCTGCACCTAACGATGCATTGGGAGATTGCACGGTATAAATGGATCCCGTATCGTCTCCACAAATAATATTTCCGGATTCAGGAGAAACTGCAAGGCAGGATACGCTATCTCCAATTTGAAGAGACTCGACTGGATCGCGGAGATTAGCAAGGGACCAGAAATTCACACGACCGTCTGTTGCGGCAGTAACTAGCCCCGCCTATTGTTGCATAAAGTGACAAAAAAGAGACACGATGGGTGAACATAAACGAAAAAACAAAATTTTCAGTAAAGCACGCGATGATGATGTTAATGAACTTACGCCTCCTTCGATCACTTCCATTGCACAAATGGGATGGGTGTGCCCTTTGCTGTTTCCGGAAACCGTCGTTGTGAGCACAGACTTTTGAACTGGCATTCGTCCAGCTCTTATGTCCCAAACAACCACTTGTCCACTCTGGCAACCACCAATTACAAGGGTGGATTCTGTAGGATGAAAACGAACTGTGGTCACTGGACTCCCGCATGTGAATATGTGTTCCGGTCGGTTTGGCATAGCCAGATTCCACACCAACGCCAACCCATCAGACAACAGTTCTCCATTTCGAGGAGCGAGAGAATCAGAGGGTGTATCGTCGGGCGAAACGACTTTGACCGCCGAGGATCCAACAGGTTGCCCTAGACTCGATGTAGAAGAAGGCATATGGTATCCGCAAAGCATTAGTTCTCGGTGAAGTGGAGACCAATCCATGTCTGTAACATCTCTTGACGCAGTCCACTTTGGACATTCGTACATCTGCCGAGATGACAAGAATTTGCTGCCGTCAGAAATCTTCTTAGCATCTCTATCTTTATCATCAATGCCTCCATCGTAATCCGCCAAAAGATTTGACAACAAATCACTCCCAAGAACTCTCTCAACCTTTTTCGAAGTCACATTCAAAAACGATGAGAATGCTTCTGATGATAATTCTTTCTCTACCTCTTCTGTTGATAAAACTTTGGCTTCTTTTGAGACTTCTTCTGCTCCCATTTCGTTGCTTTTGGTTGCTTCGACAGGGTCTAACCCCTGCAAATCACCACTTGCCAACGGTGGTTGGGTCTCCTCCTCAGCTTCACTCAAACCTGTCGATGGGAATTCCTCCACGGAAGTCTGGGTTCCCATTTCAAAGGTTTCTGTCTTGACCACTGGGGCCATTGTTTGTTGGATTGGAGCGGAAACACCGACCGCTTTGGTCTCAGATGACGACGTCGATTCCGACTTTTTTGAGCTGCTATCTACGCCTGCAGTTCCGTTTTCCATCGGATGGTGCGACGATGCAACGGTTTCGCTGCTCGTTGACGCAACATGGTTATTTGGTACCTTAAGCAAACCATCAATGTATTTGTCTAAATTGGACGCTGCTGCTATCTTCGCTTTGGCTGCATCTTGGGCGCTAATACTATTCGTGGCTCGCTGTTGCCTCCGAGCTTTGAGCTCCTCTAGACGCTTCTTCTTCTCTTCCAGTGCCCTTTGGCGCTGGGCTCTTGCTTCATCCGCCATTGGGTGTCTCGTCCCTCTTCGACTTAGTTTGTGGTCAAGAGGATATTTGATGAGGAACTATGATCGTTCCTGGCATTTCAATTATTTTCGAAGTGGTTGCCTGTGGCTTTGAAGTTATCTACGGTACGGTCCCGTACGTACCTTACGACTTCTAGTACGGGTTACTCCTACGGAGTGTCGCTACAATTGCGGGGGGAAATGCGATGCTCGGAATGCAGACGGTGGTATCGGTACGAGTGCCAGTGCTACGAAGCGCGAGACCGCAATAACTATGATGACGCTTTCTATGAGGTAAGACCCGCGCAAGACTGCGCATAACGCATAACCGTTTAAACTTACAGACGATCCTTGACTCGAACGACTAACATCGATTTTCATACTCAGTCGTCGGAAGAAACTGTTGTCCTGTTGGCGGAGGGGGGGGAATGGGAATCCAAAATGAAAATTTAAATCGACACAGTTCCAAATTCTTCCATTAACGTTGATGACCGGTTTTGTGTTTGTTCGAAACTTGTTGGGCCCGAAAAACAATTTGGACGAAGGACGGAGTGAAGTGTTTCGACAACAACAGCCTTCGTTGACACCGACATGCACAAGGAGGATGAATGAGTAATAAGCCAAAGATATCTCTTTATCACTCAGTACCGAATAACGACAATAGAAGATCACAATGGATTTTGGAGTTGGAGGAGCCAACAGAGCAATGGGGCAGCAGCAAGGAGCAGCCCCTGATGTTATGTCATGGTATGTTATCCCGTGTTTCGAAGCAAAGATGACACGTGTTCTACTTTTGCTAATTACATTGCATATTCTCTGTTTTCATTCCATTTGACGAAACAAGGTATATGGAAATCCCTTTGATTTCTCGCTTATATTTGACGGGCGCCTTCTTGGCAACGGCGCTGTGTGCTGTCGATGTTGTTAGTCCGTTCTCTTTATATTTCAATTGGGATCTTGTTTTTTCGCATGGGCAAGTGTGGAGGCTTATAACAAGGTAAGTTGGCCTCTACAAAAGTCGGTAGAGAGTGAGCTTTCGCTTTCGCTTTTCTAACTGGCACTGTGTAAATCAAACTCGTGTACTTTCTTGATTGCTTTATCACGAAACAGTTATCTATTCTTCGGCGTTTTTTCGGTAGATTTCCTATTCCACATGTATTTTCTGGTAAGTCTAGATGTCCATTGTCCTTCGCTAATGTTTTGTGTTCAGCAATCTTTGCATTCGATTGAAACAATGAACAAAATGCTGACAGTCGTATTCCCCCACCCAACAGGTACGGTATAGCCGGTTACTGGAGGAAGGTGATTTCAGAGGACGAACTGCAAACTACGTATTGATGCTATTATTTGGAATAGCAAGCATTTCGTGCGTTGCAGTTTATACAAATGTCCACTTTCTCGGAAGTGCACTAACTTTTATGATGGTCTATGTTTGGGGAAGACGTAACGAGGATGTGAAGATGAGTTTTCTTGGTTTCTTCACATTCACTGCACCGTATTTACCTTGGGTAATGCTGGGATTTAGCGTTCTACTGGGAAATGGTATTACTATGGATTTAATTGGCATTGTGGTTGGTCATACATATTACTTTCTGGAGTTCGTGTACCCTGTAATTGCGGAAATTCGAGGATGGCGTTTGAAGAGAATTCTTGTTCCACCTACCCCGCTGCTTTGGATATTGGGAAATTACCAAGATCATGGGATGATCCATTGACTTCCCCCTGCATTCATGTGATGACATTGAATGGTCATGATATCTCTAGGTTATTTTATTTTAAAAAGATAAAAAAGATAGGAAAATATCGGAAGTGGCTTTCAGTATCGGGTACACCTCTTTGACACGAAGAGGCTTAAATCACAGAAAAGATAATACGTGTTGTCGTCCTCTCGTAGATCAAACGATCTTGCACGTATTCTCAATACTATTCAATGCATTTGTGCAACAAGTTTCGTCTTTGACTAGGAAGTCGTCCTCTCTCGTTAGTTCCATTTTTTTCCACATACACAAAAATCCTGATCGTTTAACTTTCGACCGTTGAGCCAACAGCAAGGGCAAATCTCTTTTCTAGTAGCACCCCAGCACCGTGCCCACTGAATATAAGCAAATCTATTGCCGGAGGTTATCTCGGTAACTTCGTGGAGATGCCTGCCAGAATGTACGACGGCGCGTCCAATCTCGGGTCTGTATTCTCCGACGAACTTTCCCGCTGTATGGTCTCCTCTTACACCCCAAAACCGGAGATCACCCCCAGTGAATTGATCGCCGAAACAGAGATTCAGGGTGACCTGAATAATAGTTGGATATAACAACACAGCACACAAGTGAGATTGTTTTAGGGATTAGATGGCGACAACAAACATTTTCCACGGGATGCCTTGATTCCGTTCTAAACTTACTTCTGAATCATCGGTGTGAGCGACCAGACGTTGGCGAGGTTTTAAAGACGATGGGATACTGCTATATGCCGCAATAAATCCTTGTCGCCAATCGAGATCACTACCGTTCAGATCTGTGTCGTTGTAGAGCTGGGCAGAAATAGGCTTCAGCACCAAGTGGAAAATGAGATCATTCAACCACCCCAACCCAAGATTGTCCATATCCTTCAAAAAGTAACTAGTACTAACAGGACAATCCAATGATCTCGGCGACGATTCTATGAATGACATTATCGTGGATGCATACAGACACAGTTTGTTGCAAAATGCCTTCGACAGGAGAGGGAAGGAGTAAACATCAAACATTTCTTCGTCCATCCATTCTTGTAGATAGCACGTGTCCAATGCTATAGGTTCTCTTCCGGAAAGGACATCCTGCAAGGAAATACCATCCCCATCCCTGTTTTTGCGGAAAACCTTGGATTGAAAAATTGCCTTGGTAGCTTTTGGGTGCAGTATTTTCTGTCGGAGATCCTCCCAAGACTCGGGCAGGGCCGAAAACTCGTTCCATTCGGGATGTTCTCGAAAGAAATCTCCCAGAATCTGTTGGATGGTGTGATGCTGATCATTTTTTTTTGCTTTTTGGTCTCGAACTCGTGCCAGAGTGTCCTCAAGAGCCCGTTCCAGCGTTTCGACATCCTTTTCATTCCATCGAGAGAGGTAGTTGGGGTACCGGTTGAGTCCCTCGATTGCGTGGAACAAGTGCGATCGATGTTGAACTGGATCGTAAAACGATGATTCTGAGTTGTCAGCGCTTTTTTTGTTTGCTTTATCCACCTGTGGCGGCGATAATGGTATTCCTTTGTCTTGCTGTAACGACTTTCTGCCGTAGAGACGCTTCTTCTCGTTGATATCCCCGCCGCCGATTACTTCGTCGCTGGTTACAACGACAGGGGAACTACCCTGGCGAAAAAGTGCTTTCGCGCCCATCATGCTTGATACCGAGACTGGTTTTTGTCCTGATGACATGGCATCAGCGTCCGTCTCGTTCTGAATGATGTCAACATCCTTCGATGTCGACGACAAACGGTACAAGCTGCAGCCCTTTCTTGATGACTTGGGATCGCAGAAGACGGTCGTTGCGTAGGTGAATAAGGAATAGAAAGCAACTAGGAGATTGAACCTTCTCGGGAATGGGTAAGATTGTGCAGGCGGCATCTATCACAATTCTTTCCTAGATATGAAACACGGTATGTATCCACTAATCGACCTACTTGTGGACCGCAACAATAGGTGTCATGACCTTCGCCGAACAGAATCTTCCGCAGTGTGATTTTTTGGGCTTGTTCATTTGGTCGTCTCCATCCGAAATAACGTCGGTATCGTACGTGCTTTTCTCTACATCACAGAAACAGAAACACTACCAGGTACAGGGCGCGCAACCCCCCGGCCCCCAAAGAAAACTTCATTCCGAATTCCGACCGCCTCAGTTATTAATGTATGTAATATACATACAATACATACAATACGTACCATACGATCGGTATTACGAGTACGAAATCGAGTTCCGATCCCTTCGGCTTTTTCTTCCGTCTGTACTAAGTACGTACCATACATTAATGTCTATTGCTCTACCGTGCCTTACCGGAAGTGCAATCTGATCCGCTTAGGCCTAAACGAAGCTGCTTATGCACAAAAGCACCGTGTTTCACATTCTCGTACGACTACGAGTACGACTACGAATAACGAGTACAAATCCGAGCATCTACGCTACGCTACGGTACGAGTACTCTCGTAGTAGAGAGTCGTCCTGAATCGGACGATGGTCGGATCAGGGCTCTCGCAACGCGAAGAATCGTCATAATTATTTTTTCGGAATCATAGACCATCACGCCTCGTCGTTACCAAGGTCATCTTCTCCAATCCATAACAGGAAAGAATCAAAACGAAAACTCCATCATGCCCTCTTGTCCTTCAGGTTTGTGCAAGGATCCAATCCAACCCGACGGAAGAGCCAAATGGTATCCGCCAGAGAATCCGAGTAATTTGCCTGACCTCAAAGTCCACAACAGTCTCACCGACGACCTAGACTTGTTTACTCCTCGGGTTGGTCGAACGGTGACATGGTACACTTGCGGGCCAACGGTGTACGATTCCTGCCACATGGGACACGCCCGAGCTTACCTCACGTTCGATATTTTGAGACGCATCATGGAAGATTATTTCCACTACGATCTTTTGTATCAAGTTAACATCACCGATGTGGACGATAAAATTATTTTACGAGCGAGGCAAAACAAACTCCTCGAGGACTACACCAAAAAATCCCTCGAAGCAAAGGACTTGCAAGCGGTAGAAGCTTACGTTGAAACTGCTATGGCGGGCTTCAGGCAAAAACTGGAGAAAAAGGTGTCAGAATTGAAGGAACCTCTCCCGGAGGGAACGCCTAGCAAGCAGATCGAGAAACGAGAAGAGGCCCTAAAAGAAGCCGAGTTCAAGGAAAGCCAGTTTTGCGAAGTCGAGCTCGCGGTCAAGAGCGTCAAGGAGAAGGAAGGCAGGACCATCGAGGACCTTATCGCAGCAAGTCGCGATGCCTTGGCGGCTCAGTTGGACAAAGAACACGGATCGTCCGTTACGGACCGCAAGATTTACGAAGACCATGCCCGCAAATTCGAAAGAGAATTCTTTGAGGATATGGCGGCGTTGGGTGTGCGAGAGCCAGATGTTGTCACTCGCGTCACGGAGTACGTTCCCCAAATCGTCGATTTCATCCAAAAAATCATTGACAATGGATGCGCGTATGAATCCAAAGGGAGCGTGTACTTCAATACAAATGACTTCAAGAGCGTGGGACACGAATACCGAAAATTGAAACCCGGTGTGGATACAACTGCTGAAGAGATGGCGGAAGGCGAAGGAGCGTTGGCAAGCGGTGATACTGAGAAGAAGCACCCGAACGACTTTGCGCTATGGAAAGCCAGCAAGCCTGGTGAGCCATCTTGGGAATCACCATGGGGACCCGGTCGTCCCGGCTGGCACATCGAATGCAGCGTTATGGCGAGCGATGTGATCGGAGATAATATTGACATTCACGGTGGAGGGTAAGTACCGTACTGTTTAGACCAAGGTATTCGGGACAGGACGCCCTTTGCAACAATTGCGTTGCAAATTTTCAGAGATATAACTGACCTTTTTTTTGCTTCTTGTACCATTTCGAAAGAGCCGATCTGATGTTCCCTCATCACGACAACGAAATGGCTCAGTCCGAAGCCTTTCACCAATGCTGCCAGTGGGTGAATTATTTTCTCCATGCAGGTCACTTGCACATCAAGGGACTCAAGATGTCGAAATCGCTCAAGAACTTCATTACGATTCGCCAAGCATTGCAAGAACACACTCCAAGACAGCTCAGATTGATGTTTTTGATGCAGTCTTGGGATAAGCCGATGAATTACAGTGACCAAACTGTTGATGACGCTAAGGCAAAGGAAAAATATTTCAAAAACTTTTTCGGTTCTGTGAAGTCTGTTTTGCGCAATGACTTTGTGAAAGAATTCCAAGGTTACACTACTGCCGATCGCACCCTGATGACGATTCTTCACGACACTCAGGCAAAGGTTCACGCAGCGCTCAAAGATAATTTCAATACATCGGCTGTAATCCAATACTTGGTGGAGCTCGTTCAGGAATGCAACAAATATCTCAACCCAGAGACCAAGCCAAAGAATCTCATGGTGAAAAAAGTGGCTATTTACCTGACAAAAATTCTCCGTGTTCTTGGCGTAGTTCAGGGAAGCGATATCATCGGGTTTGGAGAAAGCGGAACCGAAGGAGGGGCATCAAAAGAAGATACCATTTCCCCATTTGTTGATGCATTTGTCGACTTTCGAGAGCAGGTTCGTGTCACTGCGAAATCGAAAGGTAGCCCTGGAGACTTTCTCAAACACTGTGATGATATTCGCGACGAGACGTTGGCCAATCTAGGAATTCGAATTGAAGATTCCGCTGATAAATCTATCTGGAAACTGGACGACCCGAAAGTAATCCGTAAAGAAATTGAAGAGAAGCGCCGAATGGCTTTAGAAGTTGCCCAAAAGAAACTCGTTGCCAAATTCGACCGTCTGACGACCGATTTAAAAAAGTCAAAACAGGCCAGCGTACCACCAGCGGAGCTATTCAAAGTCGGCGAAAACGCCGAAAAATGGGGGACTTACGATGATGATGGAAAGCCCCTGACAACCAAGGATGGAAAGGAATTGTCAAAATCACAGCAAAAGTCACTCAAGAAGGAGAGCAATAACCACGAGAAAGCGCACCAGAAGCTGCTTAAAGCAGCTGGCGAGGATGGAATCGAGAAATATATTGCCGGCATTGAGCAGCAATTGGCAGAGTTGAAAATTCAGCTGGAAAGTAACTAAAAATGTTTTACGTAATTGAACTAGATGATTTATCGTCTTTCCCTTCAAAGAAATTAAATTCCTGATTTAACAGCAAGATCATTCCAAAGAAAATATACAAGTTTCCCGAGCTAGTTCTCGTTCAGGATTTCAAAGATTGTCAAATGTGCTTTTTTCCTGAATATTCTGAGGAAAGAGAGTCCCATAGTTGTTGTACGTTCAGACCATTTTGGATTTCTTTCGGCTTGAATTTAGTCCGCGCCGTCATCAAACTAAGGAAAAGTACCGGTATTTCTATTGTTTTGAGTGCATTTAGAATTACTGTAGTAGTAAAAATATTGTGACACCTCCAGAAAAATCAAGCTGAATAGTAACATAAATTATTGAAACATAACCTGTCTTAATATCCAGATCAATTTGACAAGCAGACGGCTAGTACAGTACTAGCACGGGCACGTAGGGTACGTACCTGTACTGCTTACCACTGCGTTTGATGATGAACGATTTGTCGAGATCACAGGAATCACTGTCACAGGAACACCAACTACTGTTACGGCATGTACAAAACCGATACTAGTAGTAGTACCAGTACTCGTTGTCCTAGTACTGGAGTTGGGGTTTAGAGTCTGGACTGACAAGGAATTGTTAGCAAAACAAAATGTTGCCATCACGCATCACAGAATTTCATCGACCGATTGATGATGCGTCTGTACGTCCAGAAATCGAGTGCTCTCCTGCTTTTAAGTGCCATAACAATGGCTGGATCGACTGAAAATGCAGAGGCGTTTTCCTCTTCTAATGACGCCGGAAATATTCCTCAGCTCATGCCACCTGATCCAGATTCTGATCTTCCGTCCATCCGGCTAGGGGAAACGATTCGATTTGAAGAATATGGCCCCATAATTCTCAACACAGATGGTACAACCCGTCGCATCGCAAACTGGGATACTTTAACTGGTAGGTTCATGTGGATTGTGTCGGTATGATGCGAAAGAAATGACCGGACGTTCTCAATATTTGGCTCAAAATTATCTGTTCTAAATGAATTTTTTGCCAAACGCAGATCATGAAAAGGAGGTTTCTTGGCGACGCATCAGCAAACGAAATGAAGAGAGGCGAGCTGTTCTTCTCGCGCAGCAGCAAGAAAAAGAAGCGCAAAAAGCCAACGAAGAAAAAGACTCGAAAGAGTTGTAATCGAAGTAATAATAATCGATGAAATTAGAGTTCTACCGCTGCTACGATATAGTGTGCTCCTCCGACAGCGAGTGCTATTTCCGAGTTATGGATATCCGGTGGCGTGCAAGTTATGCGTTGGCTCAATTTTAGGGCAAATGCGTCATCCTGGTTACCCGTTCCTAGATTTCCGTGTTCGTTCCACCCACAACCCCAGAGTTGACCTGGCGAAAAAACAAAAAGAATGAGTGAAAAAATAGCCCAAACGAAAGCGAAAGAACTGTATGCTTTGCGAGGACCGAATTACGGCACTTACCTTCCTCATCAATAACCATTGTCGATTCGGATCCGCAATGAATTCGTTTTATTTCTTTTCCGGAAAAGATTTCGATGGGACTATCAACTTGTAAATTTGATCCGTTCCCGAGTTGCCCTGTATCACAAAGGAAGCGAGAAGGCACTGTGAGCACAAACTACGCAATCACTGAATTACTAAGTCCGTCGCATTATAAGAACTATGGGTTCGTTGAATTTCATCTCATCTCACCTTTGTCGTTGCGTCCGAACCCAAAAAATTTGCTTCCTTCTGCACCTTCGACATGTAGTATTGTATGTGACCAGCCACAGTGAACGTGAACTTTATCGTCTTTTCGAATTTTGCCTTCCATATCTACCACCGAAGGACCACAACCCTTCTTCTGATCCGTCTTGCGACCCAGTTGGCCGTATTTGTTCTCTCCGAAGGTCCAGACCCTATTGAGCGAATCTACTGCCACCGTGTGTCTTCGCCCGCACGATACGTCGACAATTCTATCGGCATCAATGGGTTTCCATCGACAATGAGTGTGCATCGAGTTGGATAATGATTCTGCTGTGGCCCCGTCTTGTTTGGGGAGATTGCATTGGCCAAATCGGTCGCAACCAAACGTGATTAATTCTCCGCATTTTGTGACCAGTGCGGAATGGAAGAGTCCGGCTTTGACGATATCTACATCCTCGTCTTTCAAAAATTCTGGTGTGATTGGATGTGTCGCAATCTCGGAGAGCGGGACGTTTTGGCGGCCAGTAACCTGGCCTCTCTCGTCGTTGCCGAATGCGTAGACCCGGCCAGTTTGTCTTTCCACCACGAGTGTGTGCGAAAAGCCCAGGGCAGCACTCTCCACGACAATGTCTGGCAACGGTTCGACAAATGGAAGTGGCAGATCGGGTGGATGCTCTTCGATTCCGGTGCGTTCTGCTCCGCATTGCAAGTCTTTGTTCCAACCCCACAAGAACAATCTGCCGTTCTTTGTGAGCAATGCAGAATGACCCCCACCAGCAAAAATTGATTTCGGCGCGGACCCAGAAGAATCGTTTGTCAATAAGGGAGTAGGCAGAACAATTTCTGTTCGATGGTGCGCGTCCTCGGCAGCTATCAGAGAGGGAATTCCGGGTCTGTTGAGCATGAGTTGGTTGTGCTGATTTGACCCACCACCCGTCAAAAAATACAACTGGTAACCTTTTTGAAAGGATCGAACCATGTTGGCAAGAGTTTTCGTGTCGTCCTGCTGGGCAGCAGAGTTTTTTATTCTATCCAGGAATCCGTCCAAATTGTTCAAGTAGATATCATTGGGGCTTCGCACAAAAAAATAAAAATGGTGCATTTTACCCAAGACAAAAACAAGCAGATTTTCATTGCGTTAGAATGCAGTACGTGTTGATAGTAAAAACCAATGAAGGACAAGTTTAGCCGCTCCGGCGATGACATTCGCGAGCAAATTTGACTAGACTCACCCACTCGGGCCGACGGAGGCAGACATGATTGCTGCCGAAAACGGAAGGTCGACGAGGCATCGAGATGAAAACGCGGGATTGTCTGGTGTCCCGCGATACAACAACGCCCTGTACGTTTTGTCGCTCCCCTCTTCTACCACTTCGCAGACGTCCCTTGCGTATCCACCCTTCTCTCGAAAGTCCAGTTCTGCCAGGGTTTCCTGGACAAGCTCTGGAGGAACGCTGAATATCAACCCCTCTGTCACCATGCTTTCAGCGTAATCCTTTGTTTCGTTGTCATGGGTGCCATCGATCGGGGAAAGGGCGCCTTCGTCAGATCCGGAACCTTTTGCCACAGATTCTACCACCGAATGGTATTCGTCTTTCGTTAGCAATGTGCATACAATGCCGGGGAATTGAACCGTCCCGCGGTGGTCGGTAGAACGCTGGGACCAGACACGCTTGTACCCCTTAACCCGCCCGAGCGTCTGGGAGGCCTTCGACAAGCCTCCGTCGGCTCCCGGGTTCCAACAAAGACTGCCGTATCCGAATATTTTCACGGAACCGTTACTCTCTTCGATCAGCTTCTGGACTTCTTCGTTCTCGGGAACCCCACCGATGTAAATCTGGCTGGCTTCGCACCATTTCGGTCCCTCGTTGCCGCCGATGCTGATGCTGTTTGGACTCTTAGGATTTCCCATTTTCCTGGAAAAAGCCACAGCGTTGCAAATATTCAAGAAAAAAACGATCAAACGTGAACGCGGAAGCGAAACTGCCATCCGAATGATCCCTATAGAGTCTCTGCCTTGCTGCGAACCTCCAGTGAGCAGTTGCCGTTGATCGCCACCGAGTTCTATCTGCGATGGAGCCGACCACCCGAATGACAAAGAGGTTTCTGTTTCAACCAGCTTATTCAGTCGAACACGAACAAGATGTTTCAGGCTGTATCAAAAAACTTGTGATGGCAATAACGGTACAGTATGTGCGCACCTACCTGAAGTGTATTAGGGATGGTGTTTTGCACTTTCGAAGTTTTGTTGTGAAACTTTCTTCGTACGTACCAGTACGAACGCAAATGTGTGGACAAAATGCGTAATAGGTTATGAGTACAATAAGACGCGCCAGTTTTTAGCTGTGAGCTCTTAACTTTGCTTGCTTGTTAGTGCTACCAAAGCACCAATCAGATTTAGA